GGATATCGCTCTACGTACAAAACTATTAAAGAGCTTGATCTAAGATCACATGTGGTACAGATAACATATCGTAAAGTATCTTCAGATACTAATCGACGTCAAACGATTCCCTTATGAGTAGTTGTAGAATCTATATAATCTCTATAGTAGATAAATTTATTTTTTTATCTGTAGTATTAATTAAAATGATTAGTAATTTATCTGAGGGTATATCTAAGTCTTTATATTATATATTTTATTTTTACTGTTCGAAAACGGACACCGCTTGCCACTCCTTTTGCCATATAGACTAAAGGCTCATTTTTCTATTTAGTATGTATATATTTACATTTATTATGAAATATTATTTACTTATTGTAATATAACAATGACAGTATTTAATACTTTACAATCAGACCAATTTAAACAGTATTTCTAGAGAAAATGTACAAGAAACATCTAAGAAAACAAGTCATGAGGTCGATGTGCCAAAGATCCGGATATAATAAAAACCTAAATTTAAACCACACTACCCTTTTTCCTTTGGCAGTCAGGTAAAAAGACCACTTGGCTCCTCCATTCACACCGTAGATCGTATGAATAAAACGTACGCTCCAACATTTTCCAATACAAACAAAGGTCTAGCCACAACAGCCAGTTGGCTGCCGCCGCAGACGCTCCGTCGCTCTGCCAAACATTGCTGGGTGCCCCCTTGGCAGGCAGGACCTTTGTGTGACGTCACGGAATCTCCTGGCTATAATATAGCATAGTTATTATTGCATATTAGTTATGATTATTTTTCAAGCGATTTCCAAAAGAAGAGGACGCATTTTTGACTACGATACACAGTACAATGCCAATCTTGAACTGAATTGCGCAAATCAATTTGAAGTGGATGTGGTTTACTCGGTACTTGGTCAAGTTTTAATTTTGTGACGATTGGAGCTGTCGTTTTTCATTGCAGCGTAAAAAAAGCTGCTCTTTGCGAAGTGAATTCTAAGCCTAAAGTAAAAAAGCAATCTACGACACATGATATCGTTTATCGTATCAATGCATTCACGATTGAAGATGCTTTTTCTTGCGGAACATATAAATATTTCGTTAGTGTGATGAACTTTGTAGTGCAGTGGTATGTTATTTTGTGTAAATGAGGCTCCGGTTTTGACTATCTCTTGGTCTAATTTAGGAAACAATTTTCTAAATTGTCTCGGTTGTAGGTATTTAGAATTGTGCCAACAGATTTTCGTTTGCCGGATAACGGCTTTCCATAACGTCCAAAGTACGAAGTGAGAATCTATATTAAATTCACAATTGGGATTTAACGGAACACGATTATAGGTTTATTTATATAATTTAGACTGGCAAACAAGCTGACGACACACCTGATGGAAAGTGGTAACCGTTGCCTATGGATATAAACATGGACATAATAGAGTTATACTGTTTTGCCCATGGGTTGTAAATTCTGAGGACTAAGATGTTGCCTCGGCCTGATGATGCTTGTAAACTCACTGCCATATCCCACCCTTTAAATCGAAACACAGTCATGCAAACACAACTGCTTCATGGTAGAAACACGAATGGGACAAAGGTATCCAAGCAAACGACTTTTGTACAAAGTCTCCCTCTGGTTAGTAGTACTTATATAAAAACAATTAAGAGAGAAACATTTTTAAATGATGAATTTGAAATTTCCAATGTTTATTCTTTGATTCAATCTTTGGATTCATAGATCACAGACAAGCATTGTCAGGCCGAGCTGTCAGCGCTCTTGGTGTGTTTGTTCGGCTGTGTGGCATTATTGTCTGTTATTATTGGACGGAGACACAGTAGACTTTTTTCCTTCGATTTCTCGGAATATTCCGAGAAATTTCGGTAAACAGTGTGTTGGAATTTTACGTTTACCAGGAGAATGTACCTCGTCGTAAATCACATCGGCACATTTGCATACATTACGTTATGAATCAACGCATTACAATACACTATTTGTTCGAGGCGCGCGCATTGAATACGAATTAACAAGCTTTTTGACATGACTTCATGCAAATATTTTTTTTTCTTTTAGATAGCGAAATAGGTCAAAGGATGAGAAGAATGTATGATTTATGATAATCGACATAATGATTCAGGGTTTTGATTCTGCTTGAGGTTGCCTGGAGGTATCCCTTTTGGCGATAAGGTCTCGTATCTTTTCCTTAGTGTGATTTTTCACGCAATCTTTTTTGTTCTTGTAAGGAATTGTAAACAATAATTAATAATATTGAACGATTCAGATACTTTATATCGTTCAGGTAAATATTTTGAAAAACAAAATTTTACATACATATACATATACATATCTGTTACGCCTGTCTCCCATAAGGGTAGGCAGAAACAATGGAACGCCAAATGCTTCGATTAAAATTTGTTAAATTTTTCAAACAAAATTTTCTAAATGAAAATTGGTTAAGTAGGGTCAGGAAAAAACTTAGTTTAAATTCGTTTTATCTATTTCGTTTTATATATTATATATTATTAGTTGTTTTCCATTCTAAGTTGCATAAAAAATATAAATAGCGTGCTTCTAATTTTCCTGTAATGTAATACTTTATTAACATTTTTGTAACTATTATAAACAGCGTAATGTTAGAAATCCTAACAGGTTGACCCATATTTATTGGTTTAATTGATCCAGTTGGTTAATGAAATTTTTATGTGGTTTTAAATGTTTGATAGGAATAATATCCTGTGTAAGATTTACGCCTTCGTTTGATCCGTGTTTATTGCGCTATCGCCTAGTTATAGAACGAAATTAGGAAGCAACACTGTGCTCCTGATCAAAAGAATAATGTTGTGCAAGTTTCACAGTAAATATCATTGTGTTATTAGTACATTACTGCAGCGGCCAGCAACTGAGGCATTGATGGACCAACGTGCAAATGTGGGCCGAGGTGTAGCCGAGGCACACATACGTGAGTCCATCAATGCCTAGTTGTGGCCAAGGCTTGTATAGTACTGTTCTCAAACAATGCGCGGAAATCAAAAACACAATTTTTCTTTTTAAGTTCAATGACGAATAACAAACAATAATAATTTTTCACGCGCCATAATGTTCCTTTGTTTTTTTTTTTTCAAAATAAACAGCTTTCTATTTGCAAGCCAGTCCGGAATTTAAGTAAAACCTTTTATTAGTTACCTCCTTGGTAGCCATGTTTAGAAGTAAAAGGTCAATCCATTTTTAAATTACAGGACAGATATGAGTTTACATAGTAATTTATCTGGCCGCAAAACACGACAGATATGGATTTTCATACAACTTTTGCCGGCCGCTGCCCGCATGTATCTGGCCAGTACGGCAATTTTGATTTATCTTGAAGAAGATTGTCAAAATAATGCTCACATTTCCAAGCATGTTTGAGAAAAAATATATAATATTGACCATTTATATACCATTCGTACACCTATATGTTTGTTGTTTATTTCCTCACGAAACAGGACCAATCGCCTGGTCAAAACGCTAGGATAACATGTTTTGTGCATCGTCAGTTAATTGTCCATGTAAAAAATACCTATCATTTATAACTTTTTTCTATTTGAGAGCTGCGCTCTTGTCGGTGGAGCTCTTGCCACTCACTACGATTTTCAGCGAGTCTCTTCACCTCTTGATACGACACAACACCAACTCCTTCCTTGATCTGCCTGATGTAATTATGTCTTGGTCTCTCTCTACTATCTATAATATAATATCCCTCTTGTCTATCTTTAACTGGACGACGGGAACTTAATATTTTATTATATTTATCGTTTCTTATCCACTATAATATATCTCAAAAAAAAAATTAAGAATACGGTTAAAAAGATTTGTTATGAACCTTGCTATTATAAAGGAAATTCTAAGACGAACTAGACTGTAAAGGCTTCGTTTCCTTTGCCTATCCTTTTACAGAAAGGATAGATAAGAGAAAAAACATATGGTACATAATGTTATGTGTTACTATCCCATAATACTCGTAGGACGGAAGATGATGGATGACAATGATTTTTCACGAGTGTGTATTTATTATTATGTTAATTTATTTGATGTGTGATAAAAGATCAAGTTGATTCTATAAAGCTGTATTGTTCTTTTAGTTAATTTGCGAATGCTTCTGTGTGCAATGTTACATATTGGCACTTTATTTCAAATGGTGTATACTTATATGTATAGAAAACATATTAAATTTTAAATACTTAGTTTTCTTTAATTCAATAAAATTTCCATTTTAACAGATTATTCTCTTAAATATACGAGTATTAGAATTAGTGTATATATATATTTTAAATTAAACAAGAAATAATTTGAATAAATATTTTTTTGATAAGTCCCACGTTGGGCGCCAATAGCAGTTATTTACAATATATGTGTAATTTTTCTTTACTTGTCATTTTTAGTATAGATTCTTGACATGTCTTTTTATTGAAATATTCATTAATAAAATGTTCTAGTGATTATATATAATTATTATTACCTGCCATAGAATTTTGTCTTTAATATTTTTAGTAATTAAGAGCATTCATACTGAGGTATGCCGAAGTGTGCCAAAATCGAAGTTATCTGTTAATTTTCAAAAGCAATTGAATTTTCAATATTTATAATTAATTTATATTTTCAAAAGTACCTACTCTTAAAGTGAACTAAAAGGTTACGCCAAAAATACGTTGCATTTAAATTTTTACAATTTAACACTCACTTTTCATTATGCTTCCGAACTTTTAAGGTACTTTTTTGTGAACAAAATTAAAATTTTCTGCAGCAATAAGAATATCATTGGACGATTAACATGTTTAATTCGAATTCTAACATAATAATTTACAATAATTAATAAGAAATATTGGAAACTGTTGTTGAGAATTGATACATAATGCTAGTATAGCCACATGTCGGTAACCTTCGGTATGAACTCTCCAGAGATTTCAAGTTTGTTTACCAAATGTGACAAGTGGGAAAAAAACAAGTGTACAATTAATGCTATCTGAACATGTTTCCAATTGAATGTTCGCAGGACGAGTTCCATCCGTTCATAGAGGCCCTGATGCCCTTTGTAAAGTCCTTTTCGTACACGTGGTTCAATTTACAAGCGGCCAAACGGAAATATTACAAGAAACACGAGAAGCGCATGAGTCTCGAGGAGGAGCGGCACACCAAGTATGAATTACAGGTAAACAATTGGTATAGCGTCCCTCTTAAAATACCGTTAGTGATCATGGGCGGCGGTGGTCACTTACCATCAGGCGAGCCGCGTGCTCGTTTGCCCCCTGTGTTGTAAAAAAAAATATCTCATACCAGAGGGAGACTGTAGAAAAGTCGTTTGCTTGGGCACCTCTGTGTCATTCGTGTTTCTACCGTGAAGCATGTGGGTTGCATGGCTGTATTTCGGTTTGAAGGGTGGGATACGGCAGTGAATTTACAGGGTACAGAGGAATAACACCTGAGTCCTCAGGAATGGCAACGCATGGGGAGTATTATGGGTGAAACAGTATACTCTGTTATGTCCATGGTACTGCTAACGTCTCTGTAGACAAAAAGTGGTAACCATCGCCTATGCGACATCAGGTGGGTTGTCAGTTTATTTGCCATTTTAAGTTTGGTCTCTCTCTTTTGTAACATATTTTCTTTTGGTCAATAAAGTTATTTAAATAAATAAAAAGATATGCAAAGAAATACAAAGATAGATTGTAGCCTATCTAAATATATATATATAAAAAAATGTGTTATCTATTATCTATGAAAATGGTTTTACATAATAACAATACATCGATCGAATAATTTGTATATCACTTAAAACACTTATCAAGCTATTTCTCTGCTCAATTCTCTGATTGCTCAGCAGCCAGATATTGATATATTTAATGACAAAATAAATATATTTTTAAAATGTTGTACAAAATTTGTAAGTTTGTAAAATAAAACTATGGCTCACTACACGTTTTGGGAAACTGTAAGTGTGGTGAGTAATTTTCAAATAAATAAATAAAATACTCTTGTATGAAATATACAAGAGTATTTTAAGTTGCACCGTTTTAAGTTTACATTTGTCACATTAGTGTTTCATAATATTATATGAAGTAAACGGATTCACTTGATAAAAATACAATTGCTTATATTAATAAAAGAGATTGTAAAAATTTCTATGGCCCGAATAGACTTGACTGATCCAAGTTAAAATGCTGTCAGATTAATTCTCCGTTGGAGCATTATAATATTCAATCTGTAACAATAATATTATAAAAAGAAATGATTTGATTATTTGTAGATAAATTCAAAAACTCAACCGATTTTAAAAGTTCTTTCACCTATACAAAGCTATATTATCAGTAAGTAACATAGGCTATATGTTTTTCTCGAAAATTCTGTCCACCCGTGCGAAGCCGGGCCGGAACGTCAGTCTAATGTAACACATTATAAAGAGGAAAGGTGTGAATATTTGTTTGTTTATTTTTAACGAATAAACTCAAAAAGTACTCAATCGATGTTAAAAGATCTTTCACTTATAGAAAGTTACATACAAAAGAAATATACAAGTAATACGGGTTAAATATTATTTTCAAAAATTCTATTCATATGGTTTCAGAACGAAAAAGCTGAAGTCAAACAAAAATGGGCATCTCGTTTACTGGGCAAACTGCGCAAGGACATTACGCAAGACTGCCGGGAGGACTTCGTGCTCAGCATCACGGGCAAGAGGCCGGCTGTCTGCGTACTATCCAACCCCGATCAGAAAGGCAAGATGCGGAGGATAGACTGCCTCAGGCAGGCTGACAAGGTTGGTTCTCATCGTCGCCAGAACAACTCATTGTAGCTGAAGCGAGAACTGTGTTATTGGGGTTTGGAAATCCCACAGATTCCCTTAATAATGCACCTGCCTATGCTAATGGTATAAAATGGTAACTGTCCTATTGTTGGTAATATGCACTGTCAAGTTAAAGATCCTTCTAGAAATCATAATGGTTAATCTCTAGTGGGTCTACTGACTTGACCTCTCACCAATATCTCCTCCAATATCCTTGGATCTCCACCAGCGTAATCCAATAGCGGAATTGGGGTTAACGTTTATAAAAAACAAAATTATCGTCATATTTCTGGACTCGGATCTCTCCAAGGACCATAGTACTGCTGTAATTACGCTAATTTCGTATACCGTTTTGTTTTGAATCGTACTTTGTTCTTCTAGTTGCTCTTTATGACATTTTGGGCGTGATTCCTCCTTTGCACTGGTACATTGAACATTCCCTAGTTGTCTACGACGTCTTGGAATGGCGAAAGGAGTGCTTGATATGTTGTATTTTTCATCACCATAGAGAGGAGATTTTTACTTCTGTTACACCTATATTTACCGGCAGTAAGCAGTTTTTGTGTCTCTATAAATTATTTTGTGATTGTGGTATAATAATAATTTGTTTCTGGTTTGTTCTTTTTAATGGGTAAAAATAGAATGATAAGGAACTGCGCTATTGGTATACGCTGGCAGGGCACCAGTGAGGGTTGATAAGTGAGGATAAGACTAGGTCTGTTGGCCCATAGGAAATTAATCATTTGATTTCCAGGACTAAGTGGAAGTCGACTTGATAAAGTATATTTGTATTAAAGGGGCCGTAAGATCCCATTAGCAATAATTTCTTCTCCATTGGTTATTTTTGGTAGAGTAGTGAGATATGTCTTAAGATCTGTTGCAAGGAAATGTAATGATCAAATAAGCCCATCCGGTGGAAAGTGGTGACCATCGCCTATAGACATGAACAGTTGTATCATAGAATGAACTGGGATGCCCATAGTACCCCTATACATTGCCATCATTGAGGACTGTTATGCTTTTAGTTACGACTTGCTGACATACGACTGGGGTGATCGCTTACCATAAAACTGATCACATGCTTCATTATCACCCTTATTATATTAAGAAATACGTAGTAATAAACATGTATGTTTATTTTATATTGACAAACTCCTATTGACGTTTTCAGGTGTGGCGTCTTGACCTGGTAATGGTGATACTGTTCAAAGCGATACCATTAGAAAGCACAGACGGGGAAAGGCTAGAGAAGCATCCAGAATGTACCCAGCCAGGGTTGTGCGTCAATCCGTACCACATCAACGTATCAGTGAGGGAACTGGACTTATACCTGGCCAACTTTATCAACAGCTATGGTAATGGGAGCGACGGTCTGCCAGGTCTCTCGCTCACTTACATATTACATTTGGGCCAGTACGGACTGCTTTAGTTATATAGTCTAGTGGCGAGTGATCTTTTTTAGTAGCTAAACGTGTCTGAGTGATTTAAGACGTTTTGTTTTTTGGAACTCGGAGTGATTAACAGAATATCTGATGGGAAGTGGTAATTCTCACATGTAGACATGAACAGCACCATACATTTTACAGATTTTGTTGCCATTTTTGACTATGGTGTAATGTTTCTTATCCATGTAATTTCACAGCTTTATCTAAGGCTTCAATCCAAAACGCAGCCATGCAAATAAGTTGTTTAGTAGAGACATGGGTGAGACAGAGCTGTCCATGCACATGACTTTTGTACAGTTTCTTACTAGTTTATTTTGTTTAGTTTTTTTTTTATTTTATTTTGGATACTTAAAATAAACTGTATTTCTATTGCCAAAGAGCTATGCTTAAATGGCTCTGTCAGTTTAATGGATATGGTACTAAAATTACAGAGTATAAAGGTACGAGTTCTCAGAAATATCCATGATGCTGTTCATGTTTATCGACGATGGTCACCATAAGTTTCGTAACCACACATTATATTTTAATGTAATAACTACCGGTTTAACTTACGTGTACTTAGATCGAGGAAGCTTGACTAGTTTCTGAAGTCAGATTCGCGTTCACATCACAGCCGCTTATGATTAAGGATCACGGTATGGTCCCGAAACTAGTCGAGCTTTCTCGTACTAATTAAACGTAAGTTAAACCGGTAGTTATTATATTAAAATACTATAAACATAAACAAAAAAAAAAACGCTACTAAATCTAAAATTCAAAACACCTAATTGGTGTTTTGAAAATTTAAAGATATCAGTTCATGTCCTGAATATTATGTAACTTTCTTCTATGTTTACGAGTCTCATTGTGTATGGTATTCTTTAAATTGTTCGCGTACTGTCACTCCCACTAAACTAAATCGCTAAAGCACTCCGAACTAGCTCACACTACTAGCTTTTTATTATATTATTGGGATACTGGAAATGCGCGTATTATCTGTCGAGTTGAACAAAATAATTATTTAACAACAACATTTTATTTCTTATCATCATCATCATCATCATCATCATCATCATATCAGCCATTAACTGGCCACTGTTAGGCTTCAGAGATGTTTTAAGAGGGGCGCCCATCCCTCGCTCGTCCCTTTCTCGTCTCTTACGACACCCACGGCAAAGGAAGGGGTTGCTTATTCTATCCGGCGATTTTACTTTCACTTTTATTTTTTTACTTCTTTCCCGTGGGTGTCGTAAGAGGCGACTAAGGGATGGCGAGGGATGGACAGCAGCGTCCCTCTTAATATATCTCTAAAGCCTCACTGCGGTTGCCAAACCGCCTGCCAAGCGTGACAACTACTGGCAACATCTCCCCTTATGAGGGAGGCTGTGTTCAGCAGTGGACAGCTAACGGCTGATAAAACAACGAAAGTAAAATCCAACTGCAACTACATCGATTATTATGTTTATTTTGGTAGTGCAAAGTCTTTGGATTATTTTAAAAATATTTAGTCTTTTGAACTTCGACAGCTGATACAGATGTTTCCAGTTATAATTAGAAACACAAACTCCAATATATTTAATTCACTTATGTGTTTAATCACTTTTTTTTCCTATAAAAATATAGACTGTCAAAAGTTTTTATTTTATAGAAAGTGATTCAGTATTGATACGCTTAATTTTCGTATAAATTAAAATAATTTGCGCCTTCTGTTTGTATCTATATCTATGGTATGATCACAAGAATGAATAGACTGGACAGAAGTGACAATTCACACACTTTTCTTTGTAAATGCCAATGCCATCGAAATTTTTTTTTCAATTCAGACCCTACATAGGTTATGAAGGTAGTCACAAATTTATTAGCATTTATTAAATTCGTTTTCCACCATCGTGGTAGAAAAAAAATATAAATTTTAGCTACTAGCTTTTATCCACGACTTCGGTCGCCTGACCTTCTTTTACTGATTGGGATATAAAAAAGTAGCCTATTCCCTTATACGTTCCATATCGTCATAGTCGTAGAATACTGACGGATCTGACAAATATTACATATAAAGATCCGTCAGTATTCTACGACTACGACGATATAGCACGTGTATATCAAATTAATAGTGATTGATTAAGCCATTAACACGCTATAAAGTAACAAACAAACTCACTGTCACATAATATTAGTAAGGATGTTACTAAACGACATCACTCACGAGATAAACGTGAAAGCAGTCGAGACGCACGCTCTCACCGCGCTGTTTGTTGCTTGCAAGCCTTGACTGATTTAGCTGTTAATAGGACGCGAGTCGTCAGTAAGAACGTAAATTTTATACCCAAATTCATTGGAGTCTCGGTTCTATCAGGTTATTCTTGTAGTGGTATAAATTGTGTTAAGTAGCGACTGTAAGTGGACATATTTTTTTTTAATGAGTGATAATGGCGTGTTAACCCCGCCTGCGTTATCGGTATACATCGGCGGGGTACCAGTGAGAAATGATAGACGAGGATGAAAGCAGATCAGTTAGCCCATCCTGACAAATTCAACTAGAATCGACCACGATGGTTTCCAGAGGGAACCACGTGGAGGTCTACCTGACAGGGCGTATTGCTAGTAATGGGGTTATTTGACAACCCTTTCCCCCTAAGTGGGCATAGTTGGGCGGTGCTCGACGTACCGAGATATAGGGGGTGTCAAGGTCAATCATAAAATAATCGGCTCTGATTGTGATACTGCGTCGTGTATTTCTATCCATGTCTCAGGTACAACCCAGCATAAACGTATACGCCCTCGCAAGGCTATTAATTATAAACCTTATGTGATCTTTTATAAGATTGGTAATAACCTGTACGATGTGTTTCAGATATCCTAAGCGGATCCCTCTCGCCTCACACTCCTAGAGACAAAGAGAACGAACACGAAGCTAAGAGCAAAGGTAACCCCCAACCCCGGCCCCCGAGCACAGTCGGTGTCGTGATGTCTTGTGTTCTGCCTACTGTTTTGTGGCAATCGACTCTTTTTCCACTCGCTTCCGCTCGCGACTTCTTTCGCTTAGTATTCGATATTATATAAAAATTAGAGTTAAGAATATACATATTCGATCTAGATGTTTTGTTTCTCCGAACAAAAAATAATACTTGCTGATATTTATAAGAAATGATCATGTTCACTCGCAGTCTTTCCATCGGCTTTGCAAACTGGTACAACGTTATTGACACATGTGCGAGTGAGCGAGACGCACGGTCTTGCTGCGCTGTCTATTCTTTGCAAGCCCTGACTGATTAAGCTCTTAAACAGTTAATGATTTAGCACTTAAACGTGTAACAAAGTAGTTATTATTATTGAATCAACGAGAGTTTTGCTACTACCTATTTATTTTTAGTCAAGTATAGTGCGGTTTCTGAAGAGTTTTCTCCCGCGGACACTTAGGCTCTGGGATGAGCTCCGTGCCAAGACTTTTTCTAAAAACTGTTCCTTTTCCGAACAGATACTACAATGAAACCTTTAAGAATAGTACGAATTGATTCCTAAAAGGTTGGTAATGCACTTCAAATTTTTCTGAAGTTGCGGGTGCTTATGGACGGTGATAATCAAGTGTCATCGCCACGCTATCAAGTGCCCTACATGCTCGTTTGTCTTCTATATTATAAAAAAAGACTATAAAATAAGGTTGTCCCAAAAAAAGTTGCATATTTTTATAGGTCTTGTATCTATTTAAATATAACAGCTAGAACGTATGCGTATCACGTAACTATATTTAAAAATACAGATTTATTTCTATTTTTAAATATCACATCCAATAAGAAGTGAGATAAGAAAGTGAAAATGTTTCGATTGCCACAAAACATTATCCGGAGGAACTTATTTGTGATTGGTTTTTGCACAAAATTTTTATTGTATCTGTCGTTATGTTTTTAAATTTATTATTGTACATTTGGAGGTATTTGACGTTAATCCCAGCATTGGCTTGCACTCACACCTATCATGCTTTACTGGAATTAAATTATTTTCAGATGGCAAACAATACTTGATGTTTGCTCGTTGCTCGTCTGTTTGATATTATTTGTATCGTAGTTGGTGTTCTTTCTCTTTTACTCTTTTCTCTTTATGTATGTCGATACTATTCTAACACTGTATAAGCTACAAACTCCGCACTAATGCACCGAAAGAACTGAAAAAGGTGAATCTTAGGATTCTATCTGTAATTATTATAAATAGAACCTCATTTAGTAATCTCTCCGAATTCGGTGTTCGAAAATTTAAAAGAAAATTACATTCTTTTTTTAAATTCGAATAATAAATATAGTAAATACGGGTTCGAATGTTTTTTTTATTATGTCAATCACACGTTCATATGTACTCGAGAATTTTACTCACTCTGTTGTTTTGGATGAAGTAAACTCATCTTGTTCGGTTTAAAGGATGCATTTAGTGTGGTTAAATGTATGCTCATTTAAATTTTCGTTAAAATATGAATTAATATTTGAAACAATATTTTTTCTTTAATTAAATTGAAGTAGCAATAACACGAGATCATTACGATTTAATAAATTGTTTATAGTTTAATAGAATAGTATCGATTTTAGAATAAATAGGTCTACAGTTTTCTGTATTTTATTGATTATTGATGTTGTGGCTTCGTATTACTTAATTCATCACTGTAAATACACAATAATGTTTGTATGAATGGTTTTTGTGTCACTAGAATTACATTTTTAAATTCAGAGTTAAGTAGCATGCAAAGGTGACATTTGTCATCCTGACAACTTCATCACACTTGTCAAATACATAAGCATATACTCGTAGTATACTACTTTTTCCTCTTATGCGTAGATTTCGGAAGCAGGTAGCTGCTTCTTGATGACATATAAAATTAAAGATATTTTAACTTAGATATTCAGAAACAATTATTTAATTTGGCGCAGTCGTTTTTGTCTACTGTCTCAAACATACAGCCAGTTTGGTAGACAGATAACATTTCTAAAAATTATTGTTATGATATCTATTGGCCTTATTAAGATCTCTAATGCCAATTATTCTTAAATATCTCAATGTACACACATTGATCATTTTATTATAATAGTAAATTAAGAGACACGTGAGCATGTTATGAATTGGCAATAACTAGGATGTGATTTCATGTGAATTCTGTCATACTTGTAGGGTGTTTATTAATAAATAAATAATAATTAATAAATAAATAATAATTTATTTATTTTACTATTATTAATTTTAGGATTTATTTTCTGTTGTTTGTTTCAAGTTGATAGCTGCTGACTGTATGACATGTCAAAACATTCCATAGAATTGGTAAAAGTGATGAAGTTGTCACGATGACAATTGTCATCCGTGCATGCTACACTCCAATCTTATGCTATACTCTGAGGTTATGATTAATTGGTAATAACATAATCTTAGTATTTGACTTCACAATTCAATACAATGCATACAATGTACATTTTAATTGTTAGATTTGATACTTAGATACGTTTTGTGTTCAATACAAATTTGTAGGAAATTTGCCATTCAACACTGTCAACTTTACACACAATTTTAATATTACATTTTTTTAGTGTAAGTGACATGGACATATGACAAAATAAAAAAAATGGTTTTATACAGGCTGTTCAAATTTTTACAAATATTATTTTTATTATAGTGTATCAAAATGCCAATGTTTTTGGCATATATGTGTGACTGGCAGGTTTCCTACGCTGTTTAGACAGTCCCCACCTCCATAGTTTGTTTCCAGAGATGACAGCTATAGCTATTAATATAATAATAACTGTATTGTCTGAAATAAATTTCAGGCTATAGCCACAATCCGTACAACGGTGTAATTTGCAACGATATTATTCTAGCAACTGGTGTCTTCTCTTCGAAGGAACTATGGAAGTTGTCTAAAGGTACGTTCATATATTTCACACTGCAATACGATACATTTAGGATTATACAGGGTGTATTTGTTACGTTACTGTTGTTAATTGTATGAGCGCTTTTATAGTTTATAGTGACATGGTACGGTATTACACTTTTTTATTGTATCGATATAATGAGAGAGAAAATATGTTTTACCAGTTTTTACCTGCGACTTCGCTCGCATGATCGGGGTTCACTGACCTGGATAAAAACTATATATATCCTTCTTAGTCTATATCCTTCTTCATCCCATATAGTATATTTATTCCAAATTTCGTTATGATTGGTTAAGACGTTAAGGAGCTATAAGCTAACAAACAAACAGACTTTTATATCTATATTATATTATAATTGCGAAAGTTTGTAAGGATGGATGAACGGATTTTGCGGACGGACGTTTGTTACTATTTCACGCAAAAACTACTAAACGGATTCGAATGAAATTTTGTATATTGATAGGTTATATCTTAACATAGCACAATATGTATTGATTCACGTGAGCATAGCTGCGGGAAGTAGTTAGTTTATAATATTATTAAGAATTGTATGGAGATTTAAATTTTCGTGTTCGTGTAGGCTGTCGTGGAGGTAAATTAAAACTTTACCATACAATTACATACATTTTGTTTTTTTTTGTTATAATATCGTGATGATAAAATACACATTATCGTATATTGAGGAATTATTCGAAATTATGCCCACAGCTCCTGTTTTCTGACGTCATCGACAGGGAATTCATCCTCATACGCTCGAAATAAATGGGTGTGCACCTTCTAAAATATTCATAAATAAAATCAATATAAATAATATTAAACCAATAATGGAAAAAACAATTTTGATACCTTTATGTTTATTTTGTTTACAGTATTATGTTTTGTATCCCAGTAGCGAAGTGTAAATGGCTCTTAGATACTAGCAATATACCCAACCAGATCGAACTCCTCGCGGTTCTCCCTGGAAACTATCATGGTTAATTCCTGATGAATTCATCATGATGGGCTAACTGGCCTGTTTTCATTCTCATCTATCACCCTTCACTGGTGCTCCGCCAGCGTATCTCCTTAGCGCAGGCGGGGTTACCATACCATTTTCGCCCATCAAAAAAAAAATGGCTCTTAGACTTAGAGAAACAGTATTCCCTAATCAAAAAAAAAAAAAAAGATCACGCACAATGCATTTTCAAAAGAGTTTTCTTCTACGAAAGTTCACGATGTGGAATGAGCTCCTTGCCGTGGTTTTCCCTGAAGACTACATTATAGGGTTTCCAACGAGTGTGTATAAGATTTCTTCAGTGTCGGTAACGCGCACGTGACACCCCTAGTGTTGCAGGCGTCCATAGGCTACAATGACCGTTTACCATCAGACGGGCTGTATGCTTGTTTGCCACTTTTGTGGCATAAATCAATCAGTTCCTATCAAAATGGGACATTTGCATGCTATACTGTGATGGCTGAAATGGCACGAGACTTTACGTAATATAAGACCACCGATACCTGCCCTATTTAATGCAAATAAATTTATTACTATTACTAAAAAAAAAAATCGTGCCGTGCTAAGGTTAATTATAGAAGCGCTATTTTGTTTTTTTTTTTTAATAAAAATGCGATTAGGCACGATAGGAGCTGTTATGTTAATGAGTTAGTAAATTTTTCAAGCGATACCTGATCGGTAGCTCTCGTGTTGCATGTTCTAAGTTTGTAGCTCTCACGAATTTTTAATATTGGAATTTTTACAATATGCATTGAGATTCCGTTATGCGGTTGGCGGTGATGTTAAATTTATGCGTTTACTCTAACCACTTTTTTGAGGAACGCAACTTATCGAATTTTCGCTGTATTTTTTTTTATTAGACATTTCTTATCTTTTATAAATAAAATTGGTTAAAGTTGAACTTAGAATTGAATCATATGAAGATAAACTTAGATTATAGTGAAATTTGTTGAAGAATGTAATTAAGCTATCAATAGATGTTTTTCACAAAAACTCAGCGTAAACTCAGTGTAATGTGCTAAGAGACGAAACTTTGTACTGAGTTTACACTGAGTTTATATGAGTTTATGTAAAAAATATAGAAGTATTAAGAGAACACAAAATCCCACGCTTAGTTTATTTTTATTTATTTTATTATTTATCCATTTTAACGTATAAAAAGAACTAAAAAGTCCATAACATTCATATAAGTAAATTACATACACCTACGAAATTCTATTATATTAATCATAAATTGAATGATTCCAGCGTCAATACTCCAGGAGACAGGGTCGGAGTCGCCGAGCGGGTCGGGCGGGGGCATCAAGCTAGAGTCCGGGTACTACTGCGGCTACAACAGCCCTGCTCCGCCCGCGTTCGATCCACCCGCCGAGCGCGCTACACCCTCGGCTATGCTCGTCGGACAGTGTTTTAGTAAGTCAAGTTGAATTATTCAAGCAACAATAGTCTAGAAGACAGGGTCGGAGTGGAGCGAATTGTTTGGGGGCATACTGAAGTCCGGATTAATGCGATTAGAGTCAGTCCCGTCTTGCATGCGTAGTGTGTTACAGTATCGGTTATTTTGTTGCATAGTGCTTCAGTGGCTAAAATTAAATTATTTTAGTGTTAGTATATCAGATAACAGGGCCGGATTCTTCGAGCAGGTGGAGGGCATCAAGTTAAAGTTTGGGCACAATAGCCCCGCTCGCTATCCCACGTTCGACTTTCTGCAAAGCACGCTACACCTTTAGCTATACTCACCCGACATTGCTTTATGAAGTAAACATGGATTGTTTAAATACTATATCATAATGCGTCCCTTGGTAAACTCTTATTTATTACCCACCTGCTGAAAAGGAGTGTAATGTTTTTAAGCCATGTGGTCCCGGTGTAGAATGGGCCATTCCTTCCTTTTTCGTAGATATCAAAAGAGGTGACTAAGGGAATTTAATGGTCTCTTTTAAAACATTACCAATGCCTAACTGCGGTTGCCAACTCGCTTACCAAGCATGGCAACTATTGCCAAAAACTCTAAAGGGCGTATGTTCAGCAGTGGACAGTTAATATGATGTTTTTAATTGTTAACGAAATTGTTTAATTAATTTTATCTTGTTCTTTTTGTTTTGTTTGTTTTTGTTGTATATTTTATTTGCTTAACGGCGATCCATTACTTGTCACACGACTTGCTCCACTATATCCAATTATTATTCTCGCGCCGTGTGTATCCGTATGTTACGCACGTGTACAGAACTAAATATAGGCAAGTGGTATAATTAGAGGCACTGCAGTCATTGAACTGTTATTAAGTAGCACTGTGCGATGCACATGATTATTTTTGGCGCACTTGAACTTTTAAGAACAATTTTGTATTACATATTGTAGTCTGTGGTACCTACACCATTTAAGATTTTTATTTATAAGATATAACTATCCTATTTGTTAATCTAATCTATTTGTAAATACCAGTATCATACTATTTTAAAATTCGTTCTTTATTTGAAATAAATTATAAAAAAATATAATAATAAAGAAAAAACATTCATTTTTTCTTATTAAACCCTTATGATTGTAATAGATACTTTTTGCTTTTATCGTGTTCTCACGTTCTTTTTTTTCTTTATACAACGCCATCTATCGGTAATTATGATATCGTTAATTTATAAAGGCGACACTATTTATATTTACTTGCATGCCAGATAGCACAGTTCAGTTATTACAGTATGTACCCATAACAATTTTTCTTTGTTCTCATAATTTTGTTTTTTTTTTTGTTTGTTTCTATTTATTACTCTTCTTGTCAGAATGATGTAAGATGCAACCAAGAAAATAAACTATAATAGGGGTAACTCGAAATAAAATACTATACCAAGCCGTTTGGTCAGCATGGTGATAGAGAGCTATCATCATCATCACTACCTTCTACTCATCATCCACTATTGAACATGGGTCTTCCTTACATTACGCCACAAAGTACGATCCTGTACTACTAGCATCCAGCAGCTATCTGCTACACGTCATTACTCCATCTTGTGGGAGTCTCTATACATTACACTTGCAAACACGGTGTTACTATTTTATTTAATGGGTGATAATGGAATGGCAACCCCATCCGCGCTATCGGTATACACCGGCGGGGCACCAGTGAGGGATGATAGGTGAGGACGAAGCAGGCCAGTTAGCCCATCGTGACGAATTCAATAAGAATTGTTCACACTGGTTCACGGCAGAGACAAGAGTGGGATAGATGTATCCATGCTGATTTTTGATAAAAAAATGCAGGTTTTTGTATATAATCTCCTTCTGGAAATAAAAAGATACATCCTCTTCTCGTGGGTTCTCCCCATTTTAATAAATATGACGTTGATAGTGTATTAAAGAAGATAGAAGTGGATATAAATGAGGGTTCATATATTTATTCGTCTACAGGCATCCCTCATAGTTCAGCGGGACTGAGTTCTGCGCAGGCGCCGCTAGTGGCCTCCAACACCATATTCTACCAGCATCCGCCACCCACAGACACGCATCCCACAGGTATGTTGACCTTACTTCAATTAATCCAACAAGCAAGTTCAGATCATGTAAGTAGAGAATCCACGTAACGATTGTAACTGTAAAAGATTTTCTAGCCATTAAATTTGGAACATTGCATGGTTTTTTATATACAACTTAGAATGGCAAACAAGCTGACGGCCCACCTGATGGAAAGTGGTAATCGTCGCCTATAGACATGAGCAGTACCATGGACATAACAGAGTACACTGTTTTGCCCATGATACCCCCATGCGTTGCCATTCCTGAGGACTCAGGTGTTATTCCTCTGTACCCTGTAAATTCATTGCCATATCCCACCCTTCAAACCGTATTACAATATTTATTCTTGTACTAATACTTTACAAGCTCGCAATATATTGGGACATTCTAAAATCAATTAATTAAATAATGGTAAACGTTGTTGCGACTGCTAACACTCGAAGATTGGGGGGTAAAGGATTGTTAGTAATGGAGACTAAGAATCCCATTGCTAGCAATATACCCAGCCAGGTCGACCTCCTCGCGGTTCCACCTGGAAACTATCATGGTTAATTCCTGATGAATTCATCATGATGGGCTAACTGGCCTGTTTTCATTCTCATCTATCACCCTTCACTGGTGCTCCGCCAGCTATCCCGTTAGCGCAGGCGGGGTTACCACTCCATTTTCATCCAATAAAAAAAAAAACACTCGAAGATTGATCATCACTATTACTAGCAGAGGTTCCACAACTTTTCCGCTAAGATAACACCTAGTTTAGTAAACTACTTAATTGTTTCAGCTTCAGAAGCGTTAACAAGTCAACATTCAAGTGGCAAGTACGACGGCGCGCCACAGGACTCCCTCGGAGATTTCGTCACATTCGTATGTCAAGAGCCAACGGACGTACAACAGTTGCAGGTATTTTTAAACTGCCATGTCGTATTATAACACCATTAAAAATGTTACTAATAATAATTAACTTAAAATTGTGTTTAAAAAAAAAGAAGACTTTAACTGTGTCAAACCGATTATTTTAATTTAAAAACTAAACTACTAAATCGAGTTCGATAAAATTTTCAAAGGACCAATCTGTAAGTGTGCCGTGTGGTACCTGCATAGAATAGGCCACCCCTTTCCTGTGGGTCTCGTAAGAGGTGACAAAGGGAGGGCGAGAGATGGGCAGCGGCGTCCCTCTTAAAACATCTACAAAGCCTAACTGCGGTTGCCAACTGCCAACCAAGCGTGGCAACTATTGACAACAAACCCTCTTAAGGGGGAGGCTTCTGTTTAGAAGTGGACAGTTAAAGGCTGTCGTGATGATGATGATGAATCTGTAAGTATATCCTTTCAGGTAAGAAAGAATCTTCCAAATCGACTTAAATAGATTCATGAGGTAATAAACATAAATCCCGGACATCCCGGTCCCGACATAGAATAGGCCACCCCTTCCTTTCCTGTAGGTGTCGTAAGCGACTAAGGGAGGACAAGGGACGGGCAGCAGCGTCCCTCTTAAAACATCTTTAAAAAGCCTAACTGCGGTTGCGAACTCTGGGATATGGCGTGGGATATGGCGTGAATTTACAGGGTATATAAATTGTAAAATTTTAATATTATTTTATCAGAAATTTAAGTTGTTTGTGATAAATAAATATATTATATTATTATTATTATTATTATAACACCTAAGTCCTCAGGAATGGCAACGCATGGGGGGTATCATAGGCGAAACAGTATACTCTGTTATGTTCACGGTACTGCTTATGTCTATTGGCGACGGTTACCACTTTCCATCAGGTGGGTCGTCAGCTTGTTTCCCATTCTGAGTTGTATAAAAAAAAAGTTAAAAGCTGATATGATGATTACTTCTATATTGTTCGTTTTACATGATTTAACGAAACTGGTAAATTGATGATCAATGTAATTTGATATAGTGATAAACCTTTTTTAATTTCAGGTGCACAGTCTGTCTAGGAGTCCAAAGCCCGCGTATTTCAGCAGCGCGATGCTCCCACCGCCACCTCTGCCGCCGATGGCCAGGCCAGTCGCCATCATTAGGTCGACAGGTAGGTTTCTAACTCGAAGCGCTATCAAAATAAATTACGCGTGCAAGAATTAAATAGCTATTAGAGATTTATGCTGTATCAAATCGCAGCTTAAGTCAATTAAAACGCTTAAGCTAAATACTTATCTCCCAATCGTGAACCAAATAATATTGGAAAAGAAAAAGGTAGGTTTCTCATAACACAATTATAATAACAATATGAATGACCATAAGAAAGCACTGTTGAGGTATGGTAATATGTAAGTTGTCCTCTCCATCCAAAGGTTGCCTGGAAGAGATCGCTCTTAGCGATAAGGCCGCCCATTGTTTTCGCATTGTGATTATTTCTTGTAATTGTTTATATTTATAATAAGTTTACTATTGTAATCTTTTGGAGGAAACAATAAAGAGTATCTATCTATCTATCTATCTACATACCAAACAGAGATTTAAAAGAGTAAATGCGGAGTTTCTTGGAAGCTCTTTTTAACAGATAATTACTTTCCGGACCCTGCTGTAGATTAAAAACATAAAACATGTCTATTTGGATAAAGATGATTTGATTTTAAATAAACAGTAACTGGTCTTGCAGCGAGTGAGATGGTGAGCAGCGGGAGCGGCGGCGGCGGCTGCGGCTCGCCGGCGTCGCCCGAGGTGCGGTCGCCGCCGGCGTCGCCGCGCCGCCGCTCGCCGCACTACCGCGCCGACTGCCACCCGCACCCGCCCATATCGCACTTCAACCACTTCCACACTCAGCCGCAGCAGGTTTGCACTTCGATGAGTTTTTTTTTTATACCACTGACGTGGGAAACAAGCTTATGGCCCACTTGATGGTAAGCGGTTACCGTAGCCTATGAACGCCTATAATAACAGAGGTATTGAGCACACGTTGCCGACCCTGAAGCAACCTTTTTCTTCCCTTGGAATAACCTCATTTTTTTTCATCCATTAAAAAATATGGTCTTCTAAAGATACCAATAGTACAATGGACATCAGTGTGACGCCCATGGTACCCCTTATGCGTAGCTATTCTTGAGAACTATTGTGTTATGCTTTCACACCCTATAAATTCGGCCAATATTTTTTTTAATGGACGATAATGGAATGGTAATCCCGCCTGTGCTAACGGTATACGCTGGCGGAGCACCAGTGAGGGATGATAGGTGAGAATGAAGAGGCAGATCAGTTAGCCCATCGTCATGAATACACCTGAAATTTAGCACGATGGTTTCAGGGGGGACCAAGTAGACGTTGACCTGATAGGGATATTGCTAATAGTGGAACTGGAAGTCTACATTACTAATAATCCCTTCCCCCAGCCAATAAAGTCGTCAGTCGAAAGGTATGTAGACGTGAAGGTGTAACGAGAAGTGACATGTGACCAGCAGGTGTTCAGCTACGGGTCGCTGGGCGGCGTGGGTCTGGGTGGCGCGGTAGGCGGCGTAGGCGGCGTGGGCGGCGTGGGGTCGGTGGGCGGCGTGGGCGCGGGCGGCGGCGCCGTGCTGCCGGCGGCGGGGGGCGTGTCGCCGCCCGGCGGGCTCGGCCTCTACGCGCCCAGGGCCGCCGCCAGGGCGCCCCCCAGGTAACTAACCTAACCCAATTTACATGTCATTATTTTATTTATTTCACATTATATTGCACTGTATGTCGACCTATAATGTGTAATGGATCAATGAATGATCAGGAAATCCTCGTGCTCTGTTTCTTGCCTATTCTATAAGTTACTGTTTTAAAATGATTATAATTGCATAAGTAATGATTACATTACAGTACGTACATGACATTACCCCTTCCTTTCCCGTGCGTCATAAGAGGCGACTAAAGGAACTCAAGGCAACTGAAAAGGAAGGGTCGAGAGCTATGCTGCCTAGCTCCATCTGCATAGCGTCCATCTTAAAACATCTCTAAAGCCTAACTGCGGTTGTCATACCGTCTGCCAAGCGTGGCAACTACTGGCAAAACTCCCCTTATGGGGAAGGCTTATGTCCAGCAGTGGACAGTTAACGGCTGAAATAATTATAATAAAATAAATCGGTGGTTATTAATGTGTGCTTATGAAACTTTTAATAATACAGTATTGATTGATTTTAACATGTATTTACCAGGGAGAGACTTTGTACAAAAGTCGTTTGCTTAGGTACCTCTGTCCCATTCGTGTTTCAACCGTGAAGCAGTTGTGTTTGCATGGCTGTGTTTCGGTTTGAAGGGTGGGATATGGCGTGAATTTACTGGGTACAGAGGAATAATATCTGAGTCCTCAGGAATGGCAACGCATGGGGGGTATCATGGGCGAAACAGTATACTTTATTATTTCTATGGTACTGCTCATATCTATAGGCGACGGTTACCACTTTCCATCAGGTGGGCCGTCAGCTTGTTTGCCATTCTAAGTTGTATAAAAAAAATGTATATATTAAAAGAGAAGTTGTGACCTTGGATTAGTGCTTATATATAGATATGTAGTGTTTGGTCTTCCAGATGGAGCGCGCCGTTCCCGACGCTGGAGGACGAGTTCAATATAATGGCAACACCCGCGGGACCTGACCACGTCGTTCTATTGGATGACGGTAAGTTTTTTCATCACTTTCTCTAGTTTTTTTTTTATCTTTTTTATTTAGAGGCTTTTATCCTATAAGGATATGTCAGCCTCATCATACACTAATTTTATAAAATACCTCACATACTTACAACATTAATACATAAATAAATAATAATATATAATATAATGTCGTAGTAGTCTATTTTGATGAAGGGAATCATTGATACACAAATATAGTAATTAAAGATTTTGCCATTCCGGAATGTGGATCTGCACTTTCTCTAGTTAAACGCTAAAGGTTAATGTTATAGTAAATTAAAAGTACGGCGGTAATCACTTACTATGAGGTGATGCGCATTCTCTTATGCTCCTTGTGATATAATAAATAAAAACAAAAGTAATATAATAAAAATTGTAAAAAATATTTTTTATGTAACCTCCAAAGGAAGAGGTTCTTAATTCGTCAGTTTTTTGTTTCTCTTATATATGTCACGTGTTTTAGTCGCCGATTCTATTCCAATTTTTATTACTATGCTAAAAAAGCATTTTTGAAATACATTGCAATATGGGAAATTTTAAATTCGAATAATTTTGATAAAAATAAATTTGGACTATGCCACAATTCGGTATGAACCTTCTTTAGGTACGAGTATTATATATTATAAGTATTGTATTTATATATTTGACTAACAGAGAGCGAGACTGAGAAGAACTTAATTTTTAAGTTAAATTTTTTTGTTTTTTTTTTTTTTTTATTTCGCAGAACGCTTCTTCCAATCAAGCGTAATAACATCAGAGGCGACAGCTATGGACACGGGGGCGTCGGTGGGGACGAGCGTCGGCGTGGACTCCGAGGACATCGCCCCCGACAAGCCGGCGCCCGACCTGCACTCGCCGTGATCCGCGCCCCCGCCGCCCCCGCCGCCCCCGCCGCCCCTGCAGCCGGCCGCGCCGCCGCCCACCGTGCTGCGCTGGACGCCCGCCCCGCCGCCACACTGGCGCCCGGTGACACACCGAGCCCTATGATTTATACATGTTCTGGTTTTATATTTATAATAATTGGTTATTTTGATTTTTAATCGATATTATCATAATTATATTATAGTCCATTCGATTATTTATTTATCTACTTTATAGTGTAAATAATTATATTTAAAGGTGAGTATTGACTGTGTACATGCTCGTATAAAGATTGAGTTAGTGATAGTTGTTATTTTTTCTAAAATCTTAACACAGTCAATAAAAAAAAAATAGCAATCTAATGAACATTGAACGGTCAACACTAGTCTTCGAGCAGTGGTCAATTAATTGCCTGATGATACCACATTTATAGGCGAAAGACATGTAACAACATGTGTGTCGACGGAATGACGGTTAGAGATTGATGACTAATATGAATGGTCGTAAGGTATGGTCTAACAGTAGTCATTTCTCAATATCATATCTTTCTAGTCGCACGCATACTAATGATAGAGGAATTAAACAATATAACAGAGGGAGACTTTGTACAAAAGTCGATTGCTTGGGCACCTCTGTCCCGTTCGTGTTTCTACCGTGAAGCAGTTATATTCGCATGGCTGTGTTTCGGTTTGAACAATGGAATATGGCAGTGAATTTACAGGGTACAGAGGAATAATACCTGACTCCTCAGGAATGACAACACATGGGTGCTATCATGGGCGAAACAGTACACTCTGTTATGTCCATGGTACTGCTCATGTTACGATGACGGTTACCACTTTCCATCAGGTGGGCAGTCAGTTTGTTTGCGATTCGAAGTTGTTTAAAAAAATCTGTTCAACTAATGAATAAAAGATCAAAGATCATATTGTTGCATCTTTACATTGCATCTGGTAATGCTGTTTTTTTTTGTGTGCAGACTTGATGTAATTGTGTCTTTCTTTGAGAGAAATTATAAAAAGTTATTGTTAGTTCTTCATTAATTAACACAGCACAAACATAACATAGATGTAGGTATGTATACATTTAGAGAACATATAAAATTGTTTACAAATTCAAACAAGCGAAGGAACGTTTGATAGCTTTCAAGTTTACATACGTGAATGCTCCCAGTGAATACTCACCTTTATAATATTATATATATAAATTTATAATATTGATATTTATATATAATATATAATTTGTCTGTTTTGATTTATAAAAAAAAATACAGTGGCGGCAGCGTTGACAAGATGTGGGGATCAGTGTAAATAATAAACGGGATTGAAAATACGGAAGTAGTTGAAATTTAGATTTTACAATTTGACGCAATATTGATTATCCGTGTTTGTCAATAGCAACATTAAGAAATTCTGTGCGACGTGAACTTGCGACGGCGCTGCACAAAGTGTTTAGAATAACGCCACCTATTGAGCGCCAAACGAATTATCCACAAACATGTATAATCAATGTAGCTCTCATTTAATACTTGTTAAGGCGATAACAAAATACAATACTCCAACGATAATTATGTAAAAATATAAAGCTACGAAAATAAAAACAACATATTATTATATTCTAATATTTTTATAGAATATAAAACAAGTATGATATGATCAAGCCTTCCAGTAATTTAGTGAAATAAAATGTTAATGAAAGTACAGCTTATAAAAAAAAAATATTGTTTGCTGAGCTGTGAAACAGTTAGGAAAAGCGGTTTATGGAAATTTATGCTTCCAATACTAGCGTCAAAACATGTTTTTATTGACGAAAGTGTGATATTATAAGTTGTTTTTGTTTCATTGTTGTGTGTTTTGTATTGAAAAGTAAATAGATTAAGCACTAGTTTATATATATTTTTTTTTAATTTATTGAACGAATATTTAAGAAAGACGAGCCTTGCTTATTATAAAATAATAGTTTAGTTATGTAAATTAGTAGCCACGTGACTAGCATTTTTATTGTTGTCTTTCGATAGGGAAATCTATAAATGTAATAAATACATACAATATTACGATATCTGATATTTAATAAAAAAAAAAAAGTATATGTACATTCATAAGTTTGTATATTGTTTTACTTTGAAGCTCAAAGTTATTTTTGTTTATAGATTTGTTCATATTGAATATTCTACCATTAAGAAGAGTGAAGTGCCATATAAATGTATGTACGTGCTTATATAAATAAAGTACAAGAAGTATAATAAAAAAAAACTAAGAATATTGGTTTAGTAAGAAGAAAAACATTGATCTCAAAAAATAAAAATATATTTTGAGCTTTGAAATTTGACATGTTGCGAATAGAATACCGAATCGAAAAACAACAATAATATGGTAATAAGTAGTTCGACAGTTGTCGAGGGACATTTTATAGGTGCCTTTCATAAAAAAAAAATCGTAAAATAATTTAACTAATAGGGTCTTGTACATTGTAGTCTTTTTAATAAATCCATCCGCTCATACCTGTAACATGGACGATTCATTAACCTGTTTATCTTAAACTTGTTATTTTCTGTAACCAAGTGTTTGCATTACGGAATCATAGAAACATTGGTGTCAGAATAATAGCAACATGAATAATCCTTATAATCCTTTCTCTTTAAAACTCTAGTACTTGTGTAATTTTTAATTTGTCACTCTAATAATTTGTTCATAATGCCGTGGCCATACGAGAAAAGCTAGTCATTAGAGTAACAATGTATGTAAATTTAATATAACTTAAAATAAAACGAATATTTACAATTATAGTACCCCTTACAATTATTAGTAAGGGGTCAAACCTAAAATTGTGGCCAAATTACACTTAATGAAATCCAAATATATATACACGGTTTTAAATAGATATAGATTTATGTAAGTATGGTATATTTAAGTTGACAGTTGTAGGTACTTTATGGTAATTGAACGTGACAGCTGTGAGCTTGAGAAAGGGATAATGTTTTTCACTGCGGTCACATGTCGCTGTCTACCATTTTGTCAGTGGTCACAAAAATTCACGTTAATCTCAAGATATTTAATTGTTTTCAGAAATAAAGAGAATAGGTTACATTTTCTATTGTCATCTTTGGTTAATTTCACTACGATTCTCACTCATCTTATTGATCTGATAAAAAAATAATGACATGCTAATCTCTTTTTACGTTGAGTTTTTACTATTAACAAGATTTCTTTTCAGATATAATATTAAATTTGAAGCCTTAATATTTATTTTCTAAAATTAGAAACATAGTATAGTAGGAAACGTAGCAATAAATGACAAGCAATAATTAAAAGGTAATAATTACAAAAACAGCTTTAGTGAAGCTAGAATTTGGTACTGAGGTAGTATGATCCTATATTCGTAACAGTTGACTTGCAAAATATTTTTTCTATAGAAAAATATGCTGGACAGACTGGGTTCTATGTATAAAATTCGACTTAAAATTTAGGAAGGCAGTTTGGTACAACTAATACATAGCTATTTCACAGAACAAAAATATATTAGTCTATTACAGCTATAATAGTTCAACTAGGCAGAAAAGCGGGAATTAGTCAATTGCTAGCTATAGACATTAGACGATATAAAACAGTTAGACAAAATAATAGTGGTGTCACATAAGGCTTGTTGATTATACTGAATTCAGAAAACATACATTTACGTCATATATTAAATTTTGAAAACGATAACCCTGTAAAAAGTTAAGGCAATAAAATAATGGAGACGAATTTAAAAGCTCATTGGTGCCGAAAATTCTAGACTGTGATTCAATTGTTCATTCTGAACGTGTCTTATATTGAAATAGTTGTTTTTGTATGATTGGCAATTGCACTGCTAGTGCCGAAGGAAAAGAAATAGTACATGCGTGTATTATTAAAGTAAATGATAAACAGAATCATGTTGTATGTAATGCATTTGTTATTATTATAAACGAAGATAAAACGCTATCCGCTAAAGGGAAGCCAATAGATTTTACAATACTTTTGTTTTATCAGCAGCGTGTGTAGGTTTGATAGAATTCATTAGCTTTGCAAAGGTTCCGTGCGTGACAAATACTGACACTGTTTTGGCTAACTATTTTGATCGATAATCGTATGAACAACAAAAGGGGAAAACAAAGTATTTGTCACAGCATGTTTGTTTATTTTCTTTTAATTAGCACCACTGTTACGATATGGAGTAATAATTGAAAGCCTAAACATTATGTGCCTTAGATACAACAATATTGTATGATATTTATGATGCGTTCTATACAACGTGCTAACTAGAAATAAAGATAAACATTATTTTGAATGCCTCGACTTTGAAATGACTTCATTGTTAGAATTAATTTCGGCGAAGGCTTGTGGATCTTTATAGGTTTTGTATCCCAATATTTATAATATAATCACGTATAATTTATTTTGAGTCCTTTGTAAATAAACGAAACATTTGGTAGCGAACCATTCTAAGCCAAAATTTGTTTATTTCTATATTCTCATAATAATAATAATAATATTTATCGCTTTTATCAAAATTATAAAACTGGGCACCCAGCAGTCTGGAAGTTAATTTCGAATCCAGAGTATTATAAAATTATAACCCTGACCTACTAATTATTAAGTAACGCTTCAATGCGTAGTTTTGCTGAAGATATAAATACTTCAACTATATTATATAATTTTAGTGTTACCTACAATATACCCATTTAAGTACATATTCTATACTTTACTGGCATGTATATCTTAATCGCCAAGATTGAATTAGGTACGCCTTTTATTTGAGACGAATCTAAGTAGAAAACACATTCTCGCATGGCTTTTTAATATTATCAATGCAACCTAAATGCAAAGCTTTTGCATTTAGGTCACACGATACTCTGTAAAAATACAATATAACGTAATTATTTATTTTATTTCCTAACATTACATTAATGACAATTAATAAAGGAACACAAATCCGTCTTGTTAATTTGTGGATTTCTGAAATTGAAATAACGTAACATACGTAAATAGAGAATAATTATAAGAGTAATTAATTAACCAATAGAAAAATACTCCTAGTTACGAATTTCTTAGTTCATTGTATGTGCAATTATAAATAATTAAATGTTTTTAGCGAATTTATTAATTATTTTAGTGTATTCGTGTCCACGACCATAATGTCTGTAAATATGTACCGGAGTTTATTTATATGATTTAATTTGTATAATTTAACAGTAGAATGAAGATTATGTGTTATGTTTGTCATATTTCATCTCTTTACAGTGCTTTCATATAATGTTTAGTTTGTACTTTTTTTTTTTTTAATTTATGTTAAAAGCCGTATTGTATAGATCAAATGAACTTTTCTTTGACGACGGGAAACATAGTATAAACAACGATTTTGTAATCGGCTAAGAAAAGATTATTTGATTAGTACACAATAAACTAAAGATAGACTTGTAAAAATGTTATAACATGTATTTTTAACCTATACATAGTAAGATATTTATAGAATTTTAGTCGTTTAATTATTTCGAACGACTTGTTATAAAGAAAATTGGTGCTTAAAGCTTAAACAAATATGAAACGGCACAATAAAGTGCTGTGTGTGTATTGTCATGGAGGGGTCAGAGCATAATGACATAGCATGCGTTGTTATGCTTGCATCCACGTAGAATTGTTTATAAGTATATTTTTATTAAAATTTCGAACGACGGAACAAGGTCATAACATACAGAAAGCTATTCCGAATGTTATCATGAAATCTAATTATCTAATGTACCTACGTGTAAAATATAAATTGTATTGTGTATAAGTAATTATATTTTTTTTTACCTGAATTTTCAAACGCTGGAGCAAAGTCAATGTATACCGATTGTTATTTCTAACGTTACCATATGACCTATTGTACAGTTTGTGTATTTTTTTTTTTTAATAAACAAATCATAAACAATTCTGCGTGAATATGTAAGCAGTTATAATAATGTAGGTAAACTTTGCTCAATATCGATGAAAACTGAAAGTGTTACAGTTGATGCAATACAAACAAACAAACACACATTTGTGTTTTATTTTATATTGTTACCGATTATACCGGGGGTTTCCAAAGAAATTTTCCCAAGTAAGATGGGCAGAAGGATTAATTAAATTTTTTTAACTCCTCGCATTATCAGAATAGAAACAAGGGATTACTAATTTCGATATTATACGGAGACATCTATTGGTGTAATTATCTTAATATGATATAATAGTGTAAGGCGATTTCCAATAGATGGCGTTAATACCTCAGTCCGTAGCTCGCATTATCATGCATGAAAATGCGATTAAATCCCGCCTGCGTCATTTAGAGAGGAATGAACCAACAATAGTCAGGGATGATAGGTGAAGATGAACTCAGGTCAGATGGCTGTACACGATATTTTCGAGGGGAAGCGCTTAGAGGGGGCATACTGATAGCAATAGGTCAACCAGTTCCCATTATTAACAATCCTTTCCTTCCTATAGATCGCTGGCTCCTCAAGGTAAGTATGGGTAATATGAATACCGATCCGATATCTATATATTCGGTTCCTCTGCACATTGATGGTGGGAAAAAGGCTATCACCATTAACAGCATTTCAATATTGCCTATATTGATCGGATATCTATTTTCGAATATGTTAAAAGTCTGTTATCTAATATTATTTTTTGTTTAAAAGACTTTTAACATATGCCTTATTGGACCACTATATATTGTAACTAAAATATATACTACATATAATACTATATATAATATTTACCTCTACCAGGGGGACACGATGACAAAAAAAAAATGGCCGCGCGGAAAAATTTTTAATAGATGGCGATACTAGTCACGATTTACTATTAATGCTTCCGTAAGTCTTAGAAAACAAACAAAATCATTTATAAAATATGTATACTTTTATTTTAAAAATCTCCTAAAAACGTAAAAATGAACAAAATAGATTCTTAAACCAAATCTCATTAGTTATATTAAAATCCAAAAAATTGTTTTATTTCTACCAGGAAACTATTGTGCTTAAATGACGCTCCGTAAATAAATGACGCAACCCCATCGTGTTTGGGCTCGTTTAACTCGTCTTAACGAGTATCTTGGTTGACGTGAATTTGCAACCCTAACAAGTTTGGAAAAAAAAACGTTCGTTCCGTTTATGATGTTAAGTTGTGATAGTAGGAGGAAAAAGAAGGTGCTAAGTGTTCTTAATTATACCATCAAAATGTAACGCGCTTTTATTTATAAAATTGGTTTTATTTGCAATTGCTTTTATTTACAAAATTTTATTTAATTTTATAAATTTTATTATAATATAAAATAAATACATAGTAAACATATTTACTTACATAATCTATAATAGGATTTTCTATAGAATAAAAGTAGAATGAAAACCACTAAATTCACTATTGATATATGCTGGCTAGGTAAATGACTAATTATAGGTGCGAATGAAGAAAGAATGTCTATGTGTCTAGTCTCTGAGTGTCAAGTGTCTCAATATCTGGTGTCCGAGTATCTAGTGTCTAACTGTCTGAATGTCTAGTATCTCACTAGACACTCAGACACTAGACACTCACACAATAGACACTCAGACAGACACTAGACACTCAGATACACAGACACTAGACACTCAGATACTAGACACTAGACACGCGGACACTAGACACTCGGACACTAGACACTCAGACACTAGACACTAGACACTAGACACTAGACACTAGACACTAGACACTAGACACTAGACACTAGGCACTCAGACACTAGACACTCAGACAGGCACTAGACACTCAGACACTAGACACTCAGACACTCAGACACTAGACACTCAGACACTAGACACTCAGACACTAGACACTCAGACACTAGACACTCAGACACTAGACACTCAGACACTAGACACTCAGACACTAGACACTCAGACACTAGACACTCAGACACTAGACACTAGACACTCAGACACTAGACACTCAGACACTCAGACACTAGACACTCAGACACACAGTCTCTATACACTTAGATACTACACACTCAAACACACGGACATTAGACACTAGACACTAGACACTAGACACTAGACACTAGACACTAGACACTAGACACTAGACACTCAGACACTCAGACACTAGACACTCGGACACTAGACACTCAGACACTAGACACTAGACACTCAAACACTAGACACTCGGACACTGGACACTCAGACACTACACACTAGACACTAGACACTGGACACTAGACACTAGACACTCAGGCACTCAGACACTAGACACTCAGACACTAGACACTCAGACACTAGACACTAGACAGTCAGACACTAGACACTAGACACTCAGACACACTGACACTAGACACTCAGACACTCAGACACTAGACACTAGACACTAGACACTAGACACTAGACACTGGACACTGGACACTAGACACTAGACACTCAGGCACTCAGACACTAGACACTGGACACTGGACACTAGACACTAGACACTCAGGCACTCAGACACTAGACACTCAGACACTAGACACTCAGACACTCAGACACTAGACACTCAGACACACAGTCTCTATACACTTAGATACTACACACTCAAACCCACGGACATTAGACACTCAGACACCAGACGCTCGTACACTAGACACTCAGACACTAGACTCTCAGACACTTGACACTCAGACAGACACTAGACACTCGGAGACTAGACACTAGGACCGGTTACCATCAGACTGGTTACCATCTAGTATCAAATTACTCTTCAAGGCTAGTTAAACGAACTCTATTAGATTGCGTCCTTTAATTACGGAGTTCTTATGGCCACCTTTCTTAAGTTTTTTTATATAATTCTTTTGTAATAATTCTAATAACCTCAGAAGGAGGTTTGTACTCCTACAGAAACATTAATGCTACTATTTATCTTGAAGCTATTATTTCTCTGTTAATCTACATATACTGCTCACATTGATGAATTCATGGGTAAAAGCGAGTGGCTAATAATGGCTGCTTGTGATATTGGTATATGCTGGTAGGGCACCAGTAAAAGAATATAAATGAAACAGTTAATGATTAAAGATTTTGTAAGATTTAGGAACTAAGCTACTACACCGATTTTGATAAAATTTCTATAAGACCAATATGTATATCCTTTCAGATAAAAAATAATTTTCCAAATCGGTTTAAAACTGACGGAGTTATGAAGTAACAGACAGAAAAAAAAATACATCCAAATTGAGAACTTACTTCTTTTTGAAGTCCATTAAAAATGAAGCGACCTCATTGTAACGAATTTATCAAAAATTTCCTATGATATCATCCAGGTAATAAATAAGATCTACATTGACAGGGTATATTATTTCGTGGTTTATTCCTGGTGAATTAATCGTGATGAGTCTGATTTGACTTTATCCTTGTATATTATACGTTGACTGGTAAGTACTCTGCTAGTATATACCAACAACGCAAACGGTGGTAGGTTATTATTCCATTAAAAGTTAATGACTGATTTCATCATCATCATCCTCACACAGTACTAACATTTTGTTCCACAAAAACGCTTTGTTTATCACAAAATTTACATGCAATGAACGCAAGAATACATAAAGCATATTGAATGAAAGTAACTAAATTAGTTCAGAAATGACAAATATAGAACGATATGATAACACGAGTTTATTAAGTACTTATCTATTTATAAAAAAAAAAAAAACCTAATACATTCGGAGAGTTACGTAAAGTAAATCGTATTACGATTCATGTAAAGCGAGCTATTTAAACTCCTACGCAGTCTCGTGCAATACTTACCTACCGAACTATATATGTATAAACGCAAGACGAGACCGCCGAAACGATTCAAATATTACTTATTATTTATATGTATAGGTAGAACATTCTACAACATTAGCAAACGCCACAGAGATTTACGCCATCTATAGGTTACTTACGCAATTAGTAGTCATCGGTAAATTAATTTATTAGCTTGAGCTAGCGAGCGGCTAAGAAAGTAGCGGCATCTAGCGCACATATGAACAACTAAAAATTAAGCCGAAGAATAAACCGACTTAGAGCTTTTCACTTGTTTGTTCATGATGATGTATCTGTACTAGTATAGTATTATATTATCTGTGCCTCTACTCAATAGAGCAGTTTGTAGGGGTCTGTTTGGACAATGGGAAGATGAAATGACGATTATTTTTAAAGTAATGTAGTTAAATAGGAAATATAAACCGCTTCTATACCTACTCTGTGTCGAGGTAACATGTAAGATATATATTCGCATATATTTTAGAAACAGTCCACAGAGAAAATCTAAAAACAAAGCCAAAATCTTTGAAACTAGTAACCTTTGCGTTAGATGAAAATTAGCATTGCCCTTATTTTAACAAAATAGAAAATGGATCTATGCAACCACGTTGAAGATATAACAAAAAATAAATAAAAGAATATTCATAGTATCGTACAACTTCAATATTTAAAATATGTCTGTTCAAAATATTGATATCGAAATGCATTAAAAATAAAATAATAAATAATAGTAAAAGTAAAGTAGTTTTCAAATTATATAAATTGGTTACATAAAAATTATATAAAAGTATTTTTGTTTAAAGTGACGCGAAACTGGCCTTAGTAAATGATGTACATTTTTTTGTTTCGATTTGTTCTTTTAAACAGGCTACGGCCATAATGCTATTCTGCTTTGTTTTTAATAAATTTTCTCTTCAAACAGTACAGAGTCCTAGGTATGTTTCTCATTTCAAATTCATACATACATGATACAATTAAAAAATAAATTGAATTTGGAACGTGTCGTTTTTTATTCGTAAGTAATTATCCAAAAAAGTTTAAAACTTGCCAGTATCTAATTATTTTCCCCGTATTTTTTTTTTTTTTTGCAAAACTTTCCATGCGATATTTTAGTTAACGACTATAGTTAGATCCTTAGAAACTATAGGAAACTATTTATTTGAGAAATAAGGGACAACAATTACAATTAAGTTAGGTAGTTTAGTATTGTATTATTGTTATCAAGGAACATTCGTTTAAATCTTTCATTATC